AATATTTGATTCCTTTTATAAATGACAGTTAAACCAAAACTTCCATACTGGGGATTCTAAATTCCTCTAGTTCAAGAATTCAAACAGCAGATCGCTCTAATCGAACAGAATTTGATCCCAAAACCTTATACTTACATTTCAAAACAAACAACAAGATAATATTGGAAGTGTTGCAGCGGTATTCCGCTATTTCCATTTGATTGTTCGCGGTATTCCCGTAGGTTCACGCTCCCCGTTCTCCCCGACGGGGTGGACGGGGATATCGTCCTCCCCATCGAGAAGCGAAAGTTGAAGAGGGGAGGGGGACCGAGACAAAGTCGAGGAGCGGATCGCCCGGGGGTTCCCATGGGTAGAAAACTGGACAGGTGGGTCCCCGCAGAAAAGTCGGGGAGCGCTCTCCACGCTACCCGTTGGAGTCCTCGACAGGGACCCCGACGGGTACCGCGAGGAGCGCTTGAACACTCGAATTCCCGACGAACACTAGTTGGCAATATATTGATGAAAGAATGCGGTTTCTTGAAATGGATCCGGAATCCATCCTTTTGTTTAAAAATACTGATTGATGTTTTCGCATTAAAGTTTCGTGCATTTCAAAGCAGTCAAGCTGACCACTTGATTGATCAAACGTAAACATATACAGTTCGGTTGCACGCCTTGAATCCGTTTATTCCTCATCTCAGTGTCTTGAAAGACTACAAATCGAACAGCAAGTCATAGATCATAGTTCAGCTGTGAAGTGATATTCACGATTGCACGTTGCAATCACACTTCCATCGTTTTCCAATTTTCAGTTGGCGACATTGGCCGATACGTGGTTGTGGTACTGAACACATCAGAAGCTAGAGTTAGCAAATGGTGGGCTTTTGTCGATGGTCATCGACCGAACTCTGTGAAAAATCACTGAAAATTGTTACAATGCCCTTCAAATATGCCAGGATATTTACTGACATTAGGATAGCGGTTCGCAGATACTCTTGAATGGGAAACAGTAAAATGAGCACGTTTTATAAATTCGACATGCAACTTATTCTGGTCAGTTCATTCGATAAAAAGAGTCGGGAATAACAGGTTCGTTTTTCGGATCATGAGTGAACGCTTAAATTTGGCGGATACAGCTCAATCTGCCATGAAATTCTGTCTTCATTTGAGAGGTGTGTTTGAGGCGTACGAGAATAGTTCACTTATAATCACTATTACTACCGAACTGAAATGATTCTAATCCGTTGAACGCCGATAATCTTGCCCACTCGCCAGATTCACGTTATGATGCTTTCATCGGAATGAAGCTTTCTGCAATTTGCTCTAACAAACGTTTACTCTTGCTCTCATGAGATGAAAGGAATGTTAAATTTTGTGCAACTTCACCAGGCTTCTGCACCACTTTTCCCAGCTTGAACGTTGAACTCAATTTGTCATCTTGTGAACTCAGTTCTGCAGCAAAATGTTTCCTTTTCTGGCTCAACTATTGTTTCAAAATAATTCTGCGGTGCATACCTATAATCAGCTTTCAATTCAAGTGTTTTGTGTACAACACACAATTGTATATTAAAGGTTTGTTTATCAAATGAAGGTATTCGTTTAACAATGCATCAAAAAATGCAAATTTCAAACTCAACCACATATTTTTTATATGTATAAATTAGTCGGTCATTAAACTTAAGGAAATACAAAATACAACAATTTACGAGATAAATGAAGACTACGTGAATGTAGTAGAATACAAGTGAACGGGAGAAACAATCAGGAGGATCATAAATGCATAATTTGAGAAACTACTAGCGGAGTTCGACATGAGAAATAGACTTCGGCTGTTGTGTTTCGAAAAGAAATAATGATGATGATAAATGAGAAACTTGATTGCAGCATAAGGCACATCATACAATACTTTACGAGAAGACTGTACTGCGCTAACGCTTTTCCATTTCCGCATTGTGTAAATCATCTTCATTCAGTCATTACAAAAAATTTGGCGATCGTCCGTTATCCAGCCTGAATGCACTGCGTGTTATAATTTTCTAAAAGTTCACCAAATTGCGTTGAATTGTTGTTGCAGTACAGCTCATAATTTGTACAAACACTTAAACAATGATATCTAGGCGTGAGTACTCTGCGACGTTAAGGCCCCAGACCATTATGCTGTCTTTTCAACTTCTTGTGGTGCCGAGCTGAAAACACATGCAATCAATTTGACAACACTTTAGATTGAATGTGACAATTAAGATCGTTCAAAATTTCGATTCGCTCATTGCCTGAATCTCTTCAGAAATTATTCTGATCTTCATTTGCTATACAACGTTTGAACATTTCCATTAGAACCATGATGTTGGTTGCCTTAGAAATGAACGTTCCCACTGGCCACTAGCTATGGAGCAGCCATAAACGTGACACATGTAAAGAAAGCAGTGAAATGTGTTTTCAGAATTCGCTGACGTAAAGCTTACTCCAATTTCTCCACACTTGTGCGGCTGCCACGTAGAGCGCTGTATCCCATAGGCACACCTCCATTGAGTTGTGGTGCATCTCCACCACCCATAGCCATCATCTTCTCGCTTCCGAGTGGGATAGCCTTATTGCTAAGCATTGGCATCGTTTTTGTGCCTCTACCACAGCATCCACCACCCGAGCACGAAAGGCAGGGAGTGACGAGCAGAAGGAACAATAAAAGTTTCTGAAATTCGACAGATCGATATGATTCGTTGAGGTGTTGAATGGATAGGTTCTTCAAAATTGCTAATGTTTTTCTGTCAACGATTACGCAATTATGGATGACAGTTGCTCGTCAAACGACCTCTAAAAATGTCTTCATTGTCAAATGAGAAATACAAAAATGTTTCGACAAACTTGTTCTGTTGCGGCTAGCATAAGAAATGTGAAGAAATTTCGAATGAATGCAACTTTTTTTTTGTCGCTTAGTTGATTGTGGTTCTAAAGAACTGAATGAAACCGGCTTTGTTATGTGTATGAAAGTCTTGAGTTAATGAACTGTGAAGAGACAAATTGATGTTAACAAAACGAAAATATCATTTGGCTTCGAAAGTGCATGTGAGAATCTTAATCAAAAATTGTTGAGCACTTAGATTTTGGGTGACTTTCAAGTTGAAATGTAGCATTAGCTGAGATCAAAAAGCACGCGAAAATGCAGCGCATTTAGAATATTGTTTTGTTTTCGGCGATTAGACAGGTCTTTTCTGCAGTGTCTTAGCACATAAGGAAGCTCATTGTAAAAGAGTGTTACAGCCTGATTGCAACAGTTTTCTAAGATGTAAAATGTGCTGTAGAGTGTGATCTGGATGAAGAACTAAATATGGCAGCACACTCAAGAAATCAATTGGTTACGAAATCAGTTTTCAGATTAAACGATTACGTCTTCGAGAGGGATACTTGTAAGGGATAAGGGATACTCGTGGATACTCTACAGAATATGAATGTATTGATCTGATCATGACCTCACAAAGAATTTGACTCAACAATTAAATTTATAACGAAAAATATGAGACTATGCCAGCAAATTGCAAATGGAATCGTACTACATCAAGCTTCAATCAGTAGTCAGTTGAATATTCGGAGGTGGCATTCGCATAACTGTAGAAAAAGTGAAGAAGTATTTGATCTGAATTGAAGAAAGCAACCAACCATCATGTTGAGTGGAGTTTGTTCGATTAGCACAAAAGCACCGTATAGCCAAATAGCAGAAGAAGTGGAAGATGCTGCGAGTGTCGATGTGCAACGCTTTTATACATTGATTTGGGTTGGCTTCAGGGGACAGGACAGGTGGGTAAATCATGTTGCTCGTCGAATTACACAATTGACGATCTGTACACAGCATTCCTTACACACACTAACTCAGGTTTTTCAAATGTTCTTTCGCGTTTCTTCGTCAACCTTTGCATTTAATGAATACGATCAACAATGCGATTTGGAACGTTCATTTGAGTGTATCAAGTGAGGATCTTTTTTTGGTTTGTTAGAAAGGAAGATTCTCGTTATAAAAGCAATCAACCAAATTTACACATAAACTCTCTCTGCCTCTTTCTTTATTAATAATAATGATAATTACCATAATGATGCTCTGCTTTTTCGATCCACAAATACTGTTTGTGTTGTTACATCAGAGATTAGATTTTCAGCAAGTATCAGCGCCCTTCATGATCACATCAATTTACAACGCAATTCTCTGAACACTTCAATGAACATTAATTCATGCTCTTATACATGCACCTATACTTCCTCACTGAATTTTGACAGTGGCCAAATTCGAAATGATTTTTTCCCGGCATCATTCAACTATACATTCTGGAAATTATGTTACAAAAATGATATTCTCGTTTAGTTGCAGTGCCACTTCTTCCATCGCCAACAACTACACCTGTTCACAGTGGGATTCGAATCACGTCCATGAATATCATCTTGAAGCTATTTGACGCATTTTGCGCGTTCCTGATCTTGACTTGACGTACACAGAGCACTTGCTGCTTCCTCTGAGAAAATCCCACTTGGTTCTGCTTCTGATGCGAAATTTATTGCTGTTGTTCTCACGTTTTCAACATCTTTAGTTTCACTGGAATTCAACTCACCATCAGTTTTGTTCCGGTGCTTCTCATTCTCAGTTGATCCGAGTGATTGCAAGAGAGGATAACTTCATATTGAATCCATTCGCCTTATTTTTTTGACGAATTCAATTGCTGCCACATAAATTGACCTTTATGACATAATCTCNAAGTCGAACAAGTAACCAGTCATTGAGGCCGACATTTGAATTGTCCTTGAAATCTTGTACTGTTTGCAAAGGCATGGCTCAGTTTTTTTTTTGTTTTGGTTTCATCAATTTTTCAAAAATCATTTTCATTTATTTTGTGTGTGTAATATGTATTTGTTTTGCTCTTTCGTGCCTTGAACTATGAGTCGTCAGCAAGATTCCACCCGTTCAACAAGGTCATAGGAGAGATTGATTCGATTATTGAAGGCTTTTTTTTTCGTCGTTATTGGAGACATTTTTTGGTCATGGAAAAACCAGAACCTACACTTGAGCACACAATTTCCCTTCCGTTTGACGACTACTCTCACGACCGATCAAAGAAAATTTCTTCAAATTACTTTCCGCCAAACTATCCGATTTGACAATTGTGCGCTAATTTTGCACTTTTCTTTGACTAGATCAATCGGGAAAAAAAACAAAAAATCTAAATAAACCACAATCACCATGGTTCGCTTATGATGCGTAAACCATTTGTTATTTCGTCAGATCATTTCACCGAGGTACTTGTTTTTCGTATTGCCACCATCATGTTGATGAATCGGTTAGGCAGCGTCTTATCGGGATGCCTGCAGGCAGCTTCTTAGTGCAACGAATGTCATGTGCTATCACTTCAAACTTCTTATATTACCTTATGGTTGGTTACTTTTTTGATGTATGACAAGCGCACGCAAACATGG